TCTCTCTCTCTCTCTCTCTCTCTCTCTCTCTCTCTCTCTCTCTCTCTCTCTGTCTCTCTCTCCCCCCTCTGTCTCTTTCTCTCTCTCCCTCTGTCTGTTTTTCTGTCCGTCTGTCTGTCTGTCTGTCTGTCTCCCCCCTCTCTCTCTCTCTCTCTCTCTCTCTCTCTCTCTCTCTCACACACACACTTATACACAACTCTCAGCTTTTTCCCACAAAACGGACAGCACCTCGCTTGTGGATGCAGGGTAGTTTATGCACACATATAAACTTACACACGTACATACACATACATGTACAGGGTGATCCCAAAAAACGTTACAACTTTTTTCTGAATATCTCGCGCAAAAATTGTTCTATGCTGTAATTTGGAACAGACATAATTCATTCAAAAGGAATTTGTTTGATATAAACTCCACGAAGAAGAAACATGTTTTGAAATCGGAAACGGCTACAAGAAAAAAGCACCCCAAAACGCAAATTTCACCAATGTTTAAAAATCTTGTAAAAGAAGTCGTGAAAAGATTAGTTGACCTTTTTCTTTATTTTCACTTTGACATAAATTTTCCATCCCTGTGACATTTAAACAATATTTAATTTCAATTTACAGAGTTCTAAAAACCTAATGATTTCTTTCTGAAATTCCTAGAAGCAGTGCTCCACATCCCCCCCTTTAGACTCGACACATTTTTAACGCGTCGTTCGAAATGTTCAGTGGCGCCCTAACACAAGGACCTGTTAAACCTTGAGTTTTTAAAGCCACATACACTGTACATGTTCACTAAAAAGTGGCTTCTAGAGACAATAGAGTGGGGTACCCAATAGACAGCATTTTTGGAGTTAACATTTCACGCAGGGTGAAAATGGGCTCTGCATGAAACCAAATGTCATCGAGGAAATGATCCCTCTTTACAAGACAATCGAGGAGTCATGAACACATTGCCATGCTCTGATCCATGTCATCTCGGCCTAGCGAAGATGAACATGGTATAGTCGTAGGTTAAGATTTGCCATGAGAATGTAGACTGTTGATGTGTAGGAAAGTCCTAGCTGCAGATCGTCTACGGACAGACGTCTCATGGGACTCGGCTACTGAAATCTGCACTCCGGTGACGTTTAAAGGGCTGCGCTTGGTGCGTGTTCGATCCGAAATGGTTTTTTTAAAAAAGAACTTTTTACTTCTGATTCGCTATAGATCCAAACTGATGGAACTTCTCTACTCATGATGCCAAAGGTCTTGAGGGCACCTAAGCATTCTCTCCATGCCGTGTGCAGAACTTACGAAATGTCAGGGATGGTGAGTTTGTGGAGAGGTAATGGTCAATACAAAAAACTCTCTGCTCTTTACTAAACGTTGCCATGATCTCAGCAGGCAAACAAATTTTGGGAAAGATGATATCTACAGACTTCTGTTGACTTGTTAGACTGCTGTAGCTTGCAATATGGCGCGATTGTTGCCACTTTTAGAGGTAGGTCTAATGCGAACTGGTGCGCCATGCTATGAAAATGACGACAAGGTTGAAAATGGGTTGTTTTTTTAATGCGCTATAAAAAGCAAAACCGTTCAATGGACTTATCTAAAATACATATCAGACAAATTCCTTTTGGCTTCCAAACGTTATGTTCAAATCTGAAACACAAAACTTCAGTATGGAGGAAGATATTTACAAAACAAGTTGTTAAGTTTTTTTTGGATCACCGTGTACATACATACATACATGCATACATGCATACATGCATACATGCATACATGCATACATGCATACATGAATACATACATACATACATACATACATACATACATACATACATACATACATACATACATGCATACATGCATACATACATACATACATACATACATACATACATGCATGCATGCATACATACATACATACATACATACATACATACATACATACATACAGTGGAAACCATATATAACAGGCCCGGTAATAACAGGGATCCGGTAATAACAGGGATTTTTAAAATCCCCGTTTTTTCCTTTTCTTTATCTCTATTAAAAGTTATCGGCAATAACAGGGCCTCATCGGAGCCCAACCGGTTATAGCAGGGACAAAGGCTCGTTAACAATGCGTAAAAAGTAAGAGAGAGAGAGAGTAATGCAGTGATGGAGCAAGCCCACGCAAGCCATGCCACTGCAAGCACACGCGGTGTGTGAAGCGAGAGAGGGCTGCGGTGTGCTGCAGACCTCGATCTAGCCCGAAACCTAGCAACACGCACGTGTAATGTGTCACCAACGATGTCAAGCGCAAAAGAAAATGCCTTTCAATTGACAAAATATACGAAATAATCCAGGCTGTTGACAAAAAGCAAGCTCCACTGGCAGAGATTTGTCGTCAGTTCGACATTCCACAAGGGTCGATTCACACCATTATCAAGGATAGAGAGAAGATAGTGGCAGCAAACTCCAATGGAAAGTTTGCTCTGGATCGAAAGAAGATGAGACTGCCCGATGCAGATGCTGTGGACCAAGCTCTTCTGATGTGGTCTAAGGAGGCAAGGAGAAAGTCGGTGCCAAAACCCCTGTTCGTGGGTACTTGTGGCAAGGGAAACTACCCATGAAAAAGTACGGCTGGATTAGTCCGCAATAAATGTTTACTTTCCTTGCATTTCTGATGTAACAGGGATCGGATATAACAGGACATTTTCTCTACTCCCACCATCCCTGTTATATCAGGTTTCCACTGTACATACATACATACATACATACATACATACATACATACATACATACATACATACATCCATACATACATGCATCCATACATCCATCCATCCATGCATACATCCATCCATACATCCATACATACATGCATCCATACATACATGCATCCATACATACATGCATATATGCATACATACATACATGCATAAATACATCCATCCATCCATCCATCCATACATCCATACATACATGCATACATGCATACATACATACATGCATATATACATACATACATGCATACATGCATACATGCATACATGCATACATGCATACATACATACATACATACATACGTGCATACATACATACGTACATACATACATACATACATACATACATACATACATACATACATACATACATACACACACATGTATGCTTTCTGCTGCTATGTACCTCAGCGTATTCATTAACTATTTTTACAAAGGCCTGTTCAAGTCTTGACACATTTTGCAACACTGACCTAATCTAACTCGTTGGATAAAAATATATGTATAGCTGCTATTATTATTATTATTATTATTATTATTATTATTATTATTATTATTATTATTATTATTATTATTATTATTATTATTATTGTTACTTCTTCCTCACTCTTGTATTTCAGGAAGTTGGAGATTCCAAGTCCAACTTTGTGGTTATTTATGACCTCCAAAGTGGGCATCTCTTCCGAAAGTTCAAAATTGCGGCCGCAACAACTGCGCTTGCCCTGTCGTCTGCGACTTTGTCGGTTGTCCAGGCACTGGACACATGTCAGCTGGTGCTGTGGGATATCGTCTCAGGAAGCTGCAAGTGAGAATCTTCTCTTTTTGAGTTCTGTTTTCTAAGTGAAGAAAGTGTACGGATAAAACGCCTCTATCATATTTCGTTTGTAAGTCAATGTAAGAAACGTATAATATTATTATGTTTAATGCCCCTATCCATTCTCTCTCTCTCTCTCTCTCTCTCTCTCTCTCTCTCTCTCTCTCTCTCTCTCTCTCTCTCTCTCTCTCTCTCTCTCTCTCTCTCACACTCTGTGTGCGTAGGTAAAGAAAGTATAATGGATTTAAAGTTCCTATCAACTCTGTCACTCTTTTTTGCGAGGTGTTGTAAACATAATATGTAAACTCCCCTATTAATTCTTTCTCTTCCTTATCTATCTATCTATCTATCTATCTATCTATCTATCTATCTATCTATCTATCTATCTAGCTAGCTAGCTAGCTAGCTAGTTAGCAAGTGAGAGGTGCGTATTTTGTTTTTGTACTTTTGTACTTTTTAATCATTATGTCTTATTCACTGAAAGTTGAGTACTTTATTTCGCCCAAAATAAAAATTGTACATAATGTATTGTTGCTGGAGGAGTTGGAAGAATTAGTAAACTAAAAGAGTAGTTGTAGGCTTTCGTGTTCTAGAGTAACAGTGTTTGCCTCTCATTCAGTTGGTCCAAGGTTGGAAACATGACAGTGAGAAAAAAAAATTCTTCTCTATCATCATTTCCCCTGTCGCCCCCTTTCCAGCTTTTTAGTTTTCTAATCATGTTTTGTCATCTGCTTTCATCTCCACTTTCTTACCCACCCCATCTAACTCTGGGCTCCTGACTCTTTCTACTGCTACTGCTTGGTTCCTTCTTACTGCTGATTTTCATCTACACCTCTGATCTTAGGATAGGTTGTGGCGTCGGTGGCCTAGTGGTTAGGCTCTCGGACTCGCAACCGTAAGGTCGTGGGTTCGAATCCCGTCAGGGGCCCGACGTTGTGTCCTTGGGAAAGGCACTTTACTCTAATTTTCCTCACTTCACCCAGGTGGGAATGGGTACCCGGCTATAGACAGCGAAAGATCTTGTCAGTTTGTTAGTGTTTGAGCGCTTAATCGGCTGCTCGCACTGTATGCTTCCCGGGAAGCTGAGAATGTTTCGGAGTGTTCTATGGTCTGCTGGGGTAATAATATAGTGTAAAGCGCATAGAGCCTGCTGTTGAGCGGGGATATGCGCTATACAAATGCTATCTATTATTATTATTATTATAGGTAAGATCTAACATCTAGCTGGATGACGGCGAACAAATCTCGGAGGTCCCGTGTGCATGTCGCTCACGTTAGAAAGCCCTTGATGGTCCTAAAATCAGTCAGATTAGGCTTCGGCCGCCACCTGGACAAATTCAAAATTAATTCCTGCCAAAGTGAAAATGCTTTATGTGTTCCACTCGCTCATATGACTGTATGCACCTGTGCGGACCGTAAAACACATACCAAAACAAACAAAAACAGAGTAGGATAAGTGATTTAGGTCGCTTCGGTGCGAAGTAAAAGTGCACATTTCGCAATAAGGGATCTTATGACATTCAACATTTATGAGTTCGAGGTTAGCAAACATCACTCCTCTTAAATTAGTCAATAATGGTAATGTATTCTATTAGATGAACCTTCATTTTTTGTCCCTCAGGTAATTTCATGTGTAGGATGAATTATTTGCATCGCGGACCATGTCATGGCAAGGATTACTTTTCATAATTGTTTTTTTCTCTCCCTCCCCAGACAGGAATGTGTCTCTCAAATGCGAGATAATTAGGGGAGAAGTTGATTATCGTCGGTCGCCTGATGAAATCGTGAATTCCACACGAAGCAAATTTTACAGGAGAGGGAAAAAACAGATTTTATCCGTCATTTGGCGTTCAAGAAATAAACTAAATGGATAGATCTGATCAATTATCTTATAGAAATAATACTGTAGTACGTTATTTACCGTATATGGTCATTTTTTCGAAAAAGTGTGGGATTCACGATTTTCATATTCGAATCTCGCCTGATGCGGTCGTGAATTCCACACAGGTGTGGAATTCACGATTTCATCAGTAGACTTTTGGGAACGCGGTGTTGTATTCACGGTTATAGGCAGTGTGTCTTCTCTTATTAGAGGCCCTGGTATGTTTAAAAATATATGAAAGCACGAAATACTGTTATAGGAAAGACTTAAAAAGATCAATTTAAAACTGAGTATGACAATACAAACTAAGTGAAACAGAAAGCTATTCATTATTTTAAAACTATAAACATCTCTCATTCTTACATGAATGGGATATTGTGTGTAATTTATGAAATCATACTCCTTCATTTGCGTGCTTTCTCTTTTCCTATCCTTCTTTGTCCAATTGTGTGGAAGTGTATATCCTTTTTATTGGGCCTGGACAGGGTGGTGGTGGATGGGTTGAGAACTTGGTGTATGTCAAACTTTTATACTCTATGAATGACTGGATGATCATCTTTCATTGTCTTACTTATTTTGTCTCTCAGATCCTGAAAATTACTCTTTGCCATTTATAAGGAGAATGATACAGTGGAGGGGAACTGTTTGTTGAGGTTTCTATTTCTCTTGACTTTAGAAGACTCTCCCACTCTCCGTTAGAGTTCAGTTTGCAAAGAATATTCCTCCTTATGTATATCAGAGGCTTCATACTGCATTTACAGCTTGGTCTTCTTTTTGTCTACCCGACCTGACAGTATTGTGGACAGCAATTTTGACAAAATCATGGGGGAAAATAATATGGTCCACAAATTTCCCTTTATATGGTCTTTGTTGATATAATTACAACAATTGCAGTTCTGAAAAAGTCTTTTATTTAAAGCCGCAGCTCAATGACGCCTGCATACTTTCTACTTGCATATGAGTGTAGCCTCTAATAAGATTTTGTTTACAAATTCGTGTTTGCTCTTAGTGGAAAAGACACTCACGGGATTTGAAATTTATGCAATTTTGTACTAATACACACACTCACACACACACTCACTCACATACACACACACACGCACACACACACACACACAAACACACACACACACTCACACACACACACGCACACAAACAAACACACACACACACACACACACACACCTAGCTGTATAATAATATATTGTTATAACCTTCTATGCATATGTGTACGTTGAAAAAAAGTCCATCAAACAACTAGTGAATTCACTTGCAATCAAGTCACCTAGTACCTTGTGTCATAAGCAATAGATGGCATCATACGAGGTTGCATTGAAGATTATGTGCATGTTTCTGGAACAGGAGCTGGAGCAATTGATAGACAGTGACAAAAGTACACCCTGAAGATTCATGCAAATGATCAAAAGGTCTTCTTGCCTAAGAGCAGAGGTTTTATCCATGGCGTGCCCTTTCTTTGTCGCTTTCTTTTCTGACATGTGAGATTCCCACTTAGTCTGGCTGACGTTGTCATGACTCAAAACTCACGCACAATTCACATTGATCCTTGTTTGGCTCACAGGTCGACATGGTCTTTTCATCTAGCACACATTTGAGTAGCCTGACAAATAGGGCAGATTGTCCCTGACCTGTGCAGGCGGTTTCAATCTCCCACTGATTACAGAATCAGGGATCAAGATACAGTTTTCCAGAGCTTTGCTGGAAATAGTGAGTGGGAAACTTCAGAAGCATGTCCACAGATGTTAACAGAAACTCCTTGGCTTGCACGACCCTTGTGGATTTTTTGGTGGTGCAGCTGGGTGGGCTCTTCTAAAGCACTCTTTACAAAGTACTGGAGGGTCCAGGTTGTCACCAACAAATGCCGGAGGAAGTTTCTCAGGATCAGATGGACAGACAGAGTCACCAATGAGGAAGTAAGGAGCAGAAAATTTGCAGACAGAAGAAAGCTGAGCATACCATAAGGAAACCAGGCAGCTACACAACAAATACAATTTTAATTTTGAGTCTACAAGTTACACAATCAAGGGAAGGCCATGTTGAACCTGTACAAAAGTCGCAAAGAATGAAGAACAAAAATGTGGAAAGACATTTGACAAATATGAAGAAGTTAGCCCAGGGTAGGGAATAGTGGAAAGTGTCCGAACGGGTACGCCAGGCGATGATGAAACTGGTATGAGCACTTCTAGAGCAATTTACAATGGGTGAGCCCGGTCATAGATATCTACATCCTGCAAACTTAGATCTTTCTGGTCATTCTGTTTCAGATAATAAACCCAAGTGTGCATCTTTCAGCTTGGTGTATCGCATTTAAAGTGTACTCTTTCGTGTTGAGAAGATCATTCACATAGGTCTTTCTGTCTCCCCATGTCAAAGTCCAAACAAAGACAAACATAAACAAGTCAACAAAAGTTAAGGAACGTACTGTAAAAAGAGTGATATATTTGTATGCATTCTTTCCAGGTTTTACTTTTACTCGAAAAACTAGATATTGGTGAAATGTTACTCAATGACTAATGGGATTGTACACACCAGGGTTTGAAGTGCACGTGACTCCTGTGCGATGAGCTGGGGAGGGGGCAAAAAGGTCCAATGTTTTCCAATTATCGATTTTTATTTTCTAGCTCTTACCGTCAGAAAAAATTATGAACGCTCAAAAATCAGTTTTCAATTGCAAGATTCATGTCTCGTGAGTGACTTGCACTCGCTCATTTGCACTGTGGATACACCATTCTGCTGCTGTAGGGCTAAGCATAAACATGCCTCCTCGACAGAAATTGTCTGATGTAAACAAAGGACGAGCCATTGCTTAGGTACAAGCTGGTGTTTCACTCCGACAAGTTGCTACACGTTTTCGAGTGTCCGTTTCTGTCATTTCACGGCTGATTCAGCGTGCCAACGCCACTGGTAGTGCCCAAGAACGACCCAGATCAGGTCGACCAAGAGCCACTAATGCAAGGGAAGACCGATTCATTCATAAGCAGGCTCCGCAGCCGAGATCCGCTCCAGAAAATCGCATCCGGACGCGGCTGAGAGCGGCAACTCGTGTTAACATTAGTTGTCAGACAGTACGAAGACGTCTTCATGAGTTTGGATTTAATGCACGTCGACCAGCAGTCCGCCAGCGTCTCACCCCAGCACACAGGGCTGCTCGTCTTGCCTTTTGGCGACGCCAAGTAAGATGGACACGTCAACAGTGGGCAAACGTTCTCTTCAGCGACGAGTCCCGGTTCTCTTTGCATCACAATGACGGCCGTATCAGGGTTTGGAGGCGACCCGGAGAGCGGCTCCTCGATGAAGCCGTCAGAGAAGTGATGCCTTTTGGAGGTGGTTCCGTGATGGTATGGGGTGCTTTCAGTCTGAACCACAGAACACCTCTGTACCAAGTGCAAGGGAATCTCACTGCAATACGTTACCGAGATGAGATACTCCGTCCATTAGCACTATCTACTCTGCAGCAGATGGGGCCACATGCAGTGTACCAGGATGACAACGCCCGACCTCATAGAGCGTTGCTTGTCCAAAACTTCATGCAGCAGGCTGGCATCAACCGAATGGACTGGCCGGCCCGCAGTCCGGACTTGAATCCCATAGAAAACCTCTGGGATGAGCTGCAACGTCGAGTCAGAGACAAACACCCCCTACCAGGAGACGCGCAGCAACTGTTTCAAATGCTGTAGGCAGAGTGGCAGGGGACGCCTCAGAGAGTATTCATCAACCTCATAAACTCGATGAGGAGCCGGTGTACTGAGTGCCAGGACAATTGTGGTGGGCATACTCATTATTGAAATCATCTGAACTGTTTTGTTTTTGTTGCAGTCAGACGTTAAAATAACTTCGAAACCGCTTGACAATTTTTGGGATTTGGGATTTTAACCCCTACCAAACTCAATTAACTTTTCAAGCAAGTTAAAATGGAATAACTTAATTTTCTTTTTTGGTACTTGCTATACACATGTTGATTAGAATGTGTACCAAATTTCATTGCGTGTTGAAGTTTGCTTACGAAGTTATACACTTTTTCTCAAATGTTCCTTAATTTTTGTTGACTAGTTTAGTTGTTTTGTCTTTGTCTTTTAATAGTGAGCAGTCATTTGATTTGGTTGAGCAATCACATCTGGTTTTCAGTTCATTAGTTTTTAAAAATCGACCTACTATCTCTTGATTTGTATAGCTTATTGCTGCCCCCTTCCTCTCTCTCTCTCTCTCTCTCTCTCTCTCTCTCTCTCTCTCTCTCTCTCTCTCAGAGGTTAAAATAATCACATTTGATCTGTTGCAACGCACCGTGTACTTTGAATGACATTTTTTTTTCATTGAAGTCTGGTTCTTTTATTATTACCGTTTGGCATTTTTTGTAGCTTTCTTTGATGCACAAAGTGGTTCACATTGCTCGGCTTCTCAAAATTCCTTTTCTCGTTAGGTAACTCTGTTGTCAAATTAGTGAGCTTTCAATGTAAACAAGTTTGGGTTGTGATACAACACGGAAATAAACTTGTAATTTATACTTGACTACGTCACGTTATCATAAAAATAATAATTTTGCAAACAAGCAAGATAAAACATTGTTTTACCAAACACTAGAAGAGCACACAAATTACACATTCGAATTTGACAGTCGTCGTGAAACAATTCCAGTCTTGCATCTAGGAAACACACATCTTAATTATGTGACAGAGGTTTTCCCGCAAAACATAATATGCAGTCGACATCATAAATTACAACCGTGAATACTGACCGACCATTGTATTTGCACAACGCAATCGCCCATATTTTAATGGTCCAGAGAGGCGTTCACGGCGCCAACGGTCAGCCCCGCGAGTCATAAACCGACTGATGAGATCGTGAATTCCACACAGGTGTGAGATTCACGGTTTCATCAGGCAACTTGGGGGGCACGGTGTTTATTCACGATTTTCTTATTACGTCAGATTGCAACGTTTGAGTTGAGATAATTGAAAAATTGTTTTACAGGGACATGTATCTCACCGAGCACTATCAAAATATGCAAAAAAAACGATTTTCGAAAATTTGTGGAATTCACGGTTTTATCAGGCGACCGACGTTATGATAGTGATAAAGTACTTGTAGATTCTTTTTATGGCACCTTCTTTCGTTTGTGCACAGCTCTAGGCGCTTTACATAAATCCAAGTACCAACAATAACTGTGAAAAAGTTAATATTTACACCTATGCCTATTCAGAAAAAAAATGAAATGCACGCTCGCACGCACACACGAACGCACGCACGCAGACCCACTAACAAACAAACAAACACTCATACATACACTCATCCGTGTATGCGAACACTCATATACATACTCATTAAAGCAGCACACACACACACACACACACACACAAACACACACATACATACACACACAAACACACACACACACACACACACACACACACACACACACACACACACACACACACCTTTTCTCTTATCATATAAACACACACGCGCGCATATATACATGTGCATCAATGTACGTGAACATGTACGTCATACATAGTGCAGTAATAATACTATTTATTCATAATGTAATGTTATACACATTGCGATCCGTAGGTGAACAGAAATGCATTGTAGATACGTAGAGTCACTTATATAACATTGTACCGGAAATCGAAGTGTTAGGTGAGAAATGACCTTCTCTACCGAAAGCGGTAAAAAGTAAAGTAAATGTTTTCAACTTAATTAACTTCCGTATCTAACGTCTGTCTCCGAAAAGACCGAGCCAAGTGAGCTGAAAGTCTTGAAACCTCCACAAAACGATCCGAGTTCAAGAACGCACAGTCTGGGATTCGATCCCGGGCTATCCGCTTGTCAGTCTAGCATGATACTAACCGAGCTACCAGGGTGCCCCTGGTAGCGGTGTTAGGTAAACCCAAAAAATCAGTTATGCTGGGCAGACTTCCAAATGACTTCCAAACGTTTCCTGCAAATAACAACGGGGAACAAACTCTCAACTTTTTAAACATATTATTATCATACGTAACAACACATTATCCGTGAAACTGGGACGTTCATCTCAATATTATACAACATGGTAATGTACCTAGTCGATCCATGGATGTTTATCGCATGGTTATCTAACTAGTAATTCTATGGATGTCTAGCCCTTGGTGATGTAACTATTGTATCCATGGATGTTTCTCAGACTATCCATGGATGTTTAAGTTATGATTAACTAACTAATGTAATAGTCCAGTACTTTTATCGCATGGTTAACTAAGTAGTTTATCCATGGATGTTTACGTCATGGGTATCAAACTAGTTTATCCATGGTTGTTGAAGTCGTGGTTATCTAATCTGTACATGCGTGGATGTTTTTTAAAATATTATAGTAGAGGGTTTTACGGTGCTCGCAACTGCATAAGGTCATATGAGCGCCAGTGCGTGTATGTTTCTATCACCGTTAACTAACACATATAATGTAAGCCTGCGTGTGTGTGCATGTGTGTGTGTGTATTTGTGTGTGTGCGTGAGTGTGTGTGTGTGTATGTGAGTGTGTGTGTGTGTGTGTTTGTGTGTGTTTGTGAGTGTGTGTGTG